GCCCAGATGCAGGACTCTGCACTTTCCCTAATATCTAACATTTTAAATGGTTAAGTAGACTGTTATGGGAATTACATCTGTAATTGTGACACCAAAGCAAGTGAGGCAGAGTTACAGAATTTAGAGGCACTACTAATTCACTTATTCAGCACATATTAATACATTTTTCTGTAACAGGAACCAAACAGGTGGTGTATTTACAAGTAATAACTCTTTCCTTGGGGGAAGGGAGCTATGCAGGTGACAATTAGATTAGCTTTTGCTGCCCTATGCAACTGCAACTTCTGTAGCTGTTTCACCAATCGAGAATTTTCAGCATGGCTCTCCTAATGTGTGCTGCACAGCTAAAACAACAGATCAGTGACTGGAGCAATGTCTGCATGTACAAGAACTACAGGCTTGAGGTACTTTTCTCTATACCTTCAGACATAGTTTAAAGACATTTCTAACTCTTTCCTATTCTATTAACAGGCCAAACGCATTCTGCTTATATGGTATTTTAACAGTAGAAAGGAATTTTTAAATACACCTGCTCATGACATATTAATTTATCATTGACCTCATGTGCTCCCACAGTTTGTCTCTCTACAGGCTCTGTGCCGCACTGTGAAAGATGCTTTCTATTGCTTATATGCATGAACAATATGAAATTTCTATTTTAAGAGATGAGGGAATTCTTAGTGGAATAAAAAAGCACAGGTGGACTAGTTAAAAGTCAGGATCAAATTGACTCATAAACTTTGCAACTCCTAGTGGAAATAAAAATAATGGATATGTACTATATTTGTTATTAGACTTCTATTGCTTCAGGCCTGATTTTCTATCCTGTGGAGTTAGACTATGCCAGAGGTTTGTATTCATTGGACCTCTTACGTACACAATGACCTTTTCAATTTGTAAAGCTACAGAAATAACTGTACATTCATCTGTAGTGGCAAAGAAATTAATTCTACTTAACTGTTACCTTGCATAGTTTTTCTTTACCTTTTCGATGCAGTTACATTTAAACCTCTAAAGATACAGCAAAGCAGTTATTAAAAAAAAGGAGACAGTGAAGTTTCCAAAGAGAATAATAACTTGGCCATTCCTATTAACAGAAACCACAAAGCATTAACACTTTGTTTAGTAGTGGATAATACCATATAGCAATGAGAAGAAATCCACTTTTTAACTAAATATATGTTTTCTAAACAGAAGTAGACATGCTGCTAGTGTAAAAGACAATCAGAATAGATGTGAGGTAATGACTCTCTTCATGTTTAATCCGTAAATAGCAACCTGCACCTACCATCCCAAGAAAAGAAAAACTGAGATTTTGCTTCCCTTTATTTCCAAAAGGCAACTGTACTTCAAGAAAGATAAAATTCAAGAGAGAGGTTCAATTGGAGAGAAGGATGATGAGTAATGAACATAAGTAGAGATCTAGAGAAGACGGTCTGTGAAGGAAAGGTTGAATGACCTCAGGCTGTTTAACTTCAACAGAAAGTGAGGACATTCTACCCTTAAGTAAAAGGCTCTTTCTAAAAGGAAGGCGAGCAATGCCTGTTTTATGTCCAGAATACACAGGGCAAGTAGAAATGGGCTTGAACTGAAACAAGGACGATTCACGTTACACAGCGGGAAAAACTTGTTAATAGTAGGAACAGGAAGGACTGGGATAGGCAATCGAGCTACTACTGCTAAAAGATTTTTTGGAAGAGGTTGGACAAGCATCCTGTGTGAGATGGAGACAAAGGCCAACCTCCTGGGGTCTCTTTCAACTCCACCATTCAGCTGTTGGTTGCAGTAGTGCAGATGCTGTTCAGTGCAGATGCAGTGCAGTGGCTGTTCAGTAGCAGAAACACTACTGGTACTTTTACTGAAGTGTAAAATACTGAAGTGTTTTACTGTGTCCTTGCATAAAAAGACCTTTCCAAACAAAACATTTCCAGGAAGCTTAACTACTGAGAAATTAAATAAAAAATTGGAGAAAACTGAAGGACAGATGGTAATTTATGTACTGCAGCAGTTTCTAACAAGTTCAGCAGACTAAGCTGTAACAGAAAGTCAGTTTCCAGTAACTGCATATCATAGAATCAAATAACAACTCAGGTTAGAAAGGACTTCAGAAGATGCACACTTCAGCCTCCTTTGCATGTCAATGTGATTTCAAACTGACTTTCAACACCATGGGGAAAGGTACGTAAAGCTGACACAAACAAGTCCAATGTGGTGACTACTATGAAGAACTTACAAATGTGCTAACAAAAGCCTGCAGTACCAATATTGGTTCAATTATCAGTGATATGAAGAGACAAAGAAACAAGAGGGGAAAAAAGAAAATAATGCACTCATTTCTAAAGCTGCTCTTCAGTTTGCTCCCCTTTTAAAATGTGGCTAGTTACTGCAGTGTGGACTGCTTGAGGGTTAAGGACTGCTACAGTAACCTCCCGGAGACTGAACAGAAATGGAGAAAGGAAAAACTCTCTGGATCTAGCACTTTAAAATGCAACAGTTGTTACGTAGTATAGTTGTGATACCCACAGAGAAATCACTGCTTTCTCACTCAGGAAGTGGTTAGTACCTCATATGCTTTCTCTGCTTCTCTCAGTTTGGGGTGAGATGCCAGGCAACACTTTCTAGGCATTCCAGAACAACTGTTACACACAATCTAATAGTTGGTAGCAATTTCGGAGTCTGAAAGAGTAATTTGACTAATAGATAATCATTACCTTAGAGCAGCAACCTATTGCCTCAAACCTAAGTATTGGTTTATTATATCAATGCTAAAACTCCAGATATTTTAAACCTCTCAGAATAACCATCCACCTGAAAATTATTTTGATCACTGAATTATTTTTTTAATAGTTAAGAGTGTACTAGGAGCAAAACTGAAACTTAGAATAAAATACTTCTCCCTGTAATTTGAGGATGAGACACAGAGTAAGAAAATTATATGGCAGAAAAGTAGACTTTTGAAATCTTTTGCCCTCTAGGAACTCTACCACTCATTCTGAATAGCACACACAACTTTTAATATGCACATAAGTCCTAATCAACAAAACACTTGAGCAGAAGCTTAAAGATAAGCGCACTTAAATCACTTTGAAGCCAATTATTATTCTGCAGCAATTCCTACAGATGATTTTTTTCTCTTTCAAACTTATACATTGAAAGAGAAAGACAGTAAAACAAAGTACATTAATGTATATTTTGTCATTAGAGGAAACAGCCAGTTCACAGTCTTTTTCTTCTGCTTAGGAAAAGCTCAAAACCCAATGTTATCCTACTTCTCTTTTCTGAACCTACTACTAGACTTGGATATTTAGCAAATTCAGACAGAACTATCAGCCAAAGAGATGTATTCATTTACCTTAGACAGTGTGTAATTGATGTGTTCTGCTCCACATCAACAGAAAGGTCAAGAAAATCTTCATCTTTGCTACTAACCTGTTGCAAAAAAATATACATGTAAAACAGAGACTTAGCAAAAAGCCATACATCTAAGTACTCTATATCTGCATGCAAATGCTAAAGATAGAACAATTTCTGCAGAAATACATAAATTAAAAAAATTATCGTAATGCTTTAATTTTTTTTTCTATTTCAGCGTGACTATATTTATTAGTAACCAATCCAGCTTTCACATCATTTAACTTGTTATCCAAACCCACCAATCATGGACCAGTGACCGCAGTCTACCATGCATTAAAGGAAGACCATCATCCCCTATATTAGCTGTGACTGTTGCATTAAGTGTGTTCCCTTGTTATACAACACAGTCTAGTTTCTCATTTTACTGGAAATTTATTTAACCTTTGTATAATATATTACACTATGTAATCACAGTTTATGCCCTACATAATTATTTCCACTATTAAGGATGCAATAAAGATATCTTCCAAATAAGTATCTGTCAAGAAATGTCATATTTAACCATGTTATATTTTCTCTCCACTGATCAGTCAGAAGGATGGTTTTATATCTGTGGTTGACACAGCTGCATTTCCCCATTGAATATTGTTCCCCGTCAATGATTTTGATTAAAAAATTTAAATGTTAAAGGTAAAAATGGCAAAGTGATGATATTTTGCAAAATAATTTCAATTTTTCCGATGTTATTTAGATGGAATAAGAGGAGAAAAATTCTAGTAAGGAGTTTTTATTTTAAAAAGTAATTCTAAGCATTTTCAGAAAGATAGATCTTGATTTTTGCTTTGAAAATGATTTTTCATGTAGAGTCTTTAATCTTAAAGGTGAAATAATGTAAAAAAAAAAATCATTCTAATGGATAGTTGTTCAACTGAGTCAAAAAGACTGCAGAACCACTTACTGTACATGAATTTAGTCATATTCAGAACAACCAATTCTGTTTATAAAATGCTGCAGGAACACTTCATATTTTGCCTTCTATGACTGCATTTCCTTAGAATAACTAAATCAGATGATAGGATAGTGAAGTTCAAATCAAGAACTTCTGTGAGGGGTTGAATCCCTTGTTCTGATGCAAGTCCCTTGTGCTCAGATTTTAACAATTCTATGGATGTGAAAATTATGTACTGCTTTCAGCTCATCGTTGTGTTACATCAGGAACCCTATAAACACAGTGAATGCAGCACATACCAGTCCAGAGGAACACCTTTAGCAGCACAAATGTTGGTATTATCAAAGATGTACAGAAGCATCACATGCATCCAATTAAAATGACCAGCAGTTCCTCAAACAAAAATCCTCCCTGAGACATGATTTGACCCACAGAGGACAGGAAACCACAAAACTGGCAGCAATCGAGTGCAGTATAAACATACAGTCAGAATTTGAGCAATAGAACAACAAAGCGTCAGAGAACATTGTGTCTCTGCAGCTGGAATGACACTTCTGTCAGACACAGCGCATATTAAAAAAGGGACTAAATACTTGGAAAAGTCTTTGGCAAGTACAGCGTTTCATCTGAATACCACAAAGCAGCTAGGAATTTTGTTCTTGATTTCAGCACATCAAATATTTACTGAAAGGGGAAGGAAGATAAGCTAGCTGGAGCTCAAAAAATACAGACCTAAACTAAAGGTAGCTGAAAAAACAGATTCAAACTGCACTTTTTTTAAAGTGAGAATAAGAACTGCTGGAATCTGGATGATTCTTCATGCACTATATATGAATATTTTAGTACATGAACATCTTTTAATTCATTTTACTATTTCTCAAAGTTTTAAAGGTACAATAATAAAAGGAAAAAAAATTTGAAAAATATCCTGAGTAGTGATATTTTTTCCATAAAGCTTGGTCACTCTGAATTACAAATAGGGCATTGTGCAGTTTTGCTATTACCCAGGGACACATCCCGACTTCAGTACAGTTTGCCTGAGTAAACACTGGACATTAATTTAGAATTAGACCCAACCGTTTAAAGAAGCTTGTCAGTTAAAAAATAATTCTACCCTTTCACTTATTTTAACTTGCTGTTACTACTTGGTAGTTTATAATTGAAATAAATCAAAGAATTAATTTTCAATTTCTCTTTCACATTTTCCCTTATATAAGCTTGTTCCAAACTTGGTCCAACCTCTCCTTTCATGTTGACTATCACCGTATCTCTTTTTCCTCCTTCTCTGACCCAAATCCCAGTAGAAGGCATATTTTCTTGGAGAACAGAGCTATTCTTTTTGGTTAGAAATATCAGAATATGTTATTTTACACATCTGGTAGGACCTGGGCAGGGTTTATCTCACCTAACGTCAGCTATCTAAAGTTAGATATTTAACCCTAGTTTGCTGTCCGAAGATACCTCCTCCGAGCACCTTCTCCCATCTTAATGCAGATAATCTAAAGCTGCATTTGTTTAGAGGAAGTCCTTGGTAGCAGTACCGGTCTGAGTTAAAATCACATTATTCTTAGGTCAGATCAACTTGCTGACCCAGTTCACAGCATTGCTCCACCAGCAATTGCAACAGCTCAGTAACACCGTGGAGCCAGGACAAGATGTATGGAGCAGAATACCTGATACTGCTAAAAACTTTGTTTCATGAAACAGCCCAGAAGCAGATGGAGAGCGCTTCCTGCAGGAGCTACTTTGCAATCTCTGTCATCTACAGAAGGAGCTGAGAAAACTAGTTCATCCCTGACATCTACCTTTTACAAAGCAAAGGTTAGGTGAAGTTAATTCCAACGTTTTTGGAAAGTTAGCGTCACTATTCTCCCCAAAACTGACCTTTTTCCTGTCTGTGTTACTCTTTCACATAGCAACATCAGAGATAAACTTTTTATTATTATTATTTCTTTTCCCTTTAAATAGGAGTATGTGATTGAAAACAACAGAAATTTATAAGAGACGTGCAATCAGGTTTCCTAACTAAAACTAACTTTTACTTATACTTCAAACAAGAAATATCTAACTGACAGCATCCTCTAGAAAATATTAGGGAGATAAAAGAAAACGTGGTTTGTTAATAGCAAACCCTCTGTATGCCAGTCACATTCTTAGGATTGAATTAAATAAAATTCATCTTAACACTTCACTTATCCGTGGAGTAATGATGTGAATGTCTTCTCCCAAAGTTACAGTAATAAGGAAGGGTACTGATTAACTAGCAAGGATTTTAGCTTTAGAGATATGTATTAGGACAGCAAGACTTGGCATAGGCTAGCCAAGTAATGCTTAGAAAAATAAATTTTTAGAAAAGAATATACTCACTTCAAGAAGTAAAGTCTACAGGAATATCCACAATTCTCAGATGTCTGAAAAGATTAATATATTTTTATATATATAATGTATCTATCTATTAATGGACAACGACAACAAAAAAAACTCATCCCAATGCTTACGGTTTCACAGTTCAAACATCTAGTTTCGTTAGTCAGTGTTCCCTGAAAAATCTCATGCACCCAGGTGAGTTCTTGTTTATTATTCTCTTCAGCTTCATTCATATTGCCATTTTTCAGTTTCCCATTTTGCTTTTCCTGTTTCTTCTCCTCCTGCAAAATGTCTGCAATGGTGTTGAGCAGGTAATTTAAAAACTCATGTGCATCCTGCTGCATGTAGTTGTCAAAGAGATCTGTGAAGAAGAGAGTTGAGATTTCTAAAGCTAAGTATGTCCTTTTCTTCAAGAAAGCAAACTACATTCATTATTTCTTTCCAAATACATGTACTGGTCCTTGCTCAGCAAAGTATTTAGAATCACGCCAAAGAAGAGCAGCTCTGCAGTCACACTGGCTTCAGTGAAGCTACTTTGGGGTAAGGCTTCATCTCACCTAACTCTGGCTGTCTGAAAGGTTTTGCTCTTCTTTGGGGTTGATTGTGTAGGCTCCCACTACAGTCAATGAAGAAAGCAAAAGGGTGACTCATCCTAAATTAATTCCTTACGCTAGATGCCTAACTTCAGGCAGCACTGACTCCTACCCATATATTCCAAGGCCCTCAGACACTTAGGAGCATGACAGAGTTTGAACAGTAAGACACATGGCTGCAGAAACTGAAGGCATTGGATGGTGGCACATACTACTGTAGTATGTCTGGCTGGGGTGGAGTTATTTTTCCTCACAGCAGCCCATACAGTGTTCTGCTTTATACGTGTGGCTAGAACATCATTGATAATGCCCCAGTGTTTGGACTGTTGCTGAAGAGTGCTCACACAGCATCAAGGCTGCCTCTCCAACCACCTCACCTCATCCTGCCAAAGGTAGGGAGGGTGAGGTTGGGCTAAAGGTTGGGAGGGAACACAGCTGGGACAGCTGACCCATGATATTCCATGCCATGTGACTTTTTATTCAAGCAATACAAGCTGAGAGAAAGGAGGAGCTGGAGGTGTTCTTATTATTTGTCTTCCAAAGCAACTCCTACACATACCAAGGCCCTGCTTCTCAGGGAGTGGCTGAAAATCACCTGCTGATGAGAGGTAGAAAATAAATCTCCTTGGCTTTTTTCATTAAGCTGCCTTTATCTTAACACACAAATCTTCATCTTATTTTCTCCCCCTGTCCTGCTGAGGAGGGGAGTGAGAGACAGGCCCGGTGGACAGCCAGCCAAGATTAACACACCACAAATAGTAATAATAACACCATCTAACAGAGCTCATTTTTCACACACAAGTTTGATGAGCAGAGACTTGTCCTCCTCAATAAGAAATGCTTGCAGGAGGAGGGGAGAATATCTCAGTGGTGGTTTAGTACAGACTTCTCCAGCAATGTTTTAATTTGCCCACCATGTTGAAGAAAAAAGAACCTGTGTTCCCAATAAATACGTGTTTCTATCCCCCTGCTCCTGAAAAAGCCCACATGGATTTCTCAGAAAATACTGCACAGATCCTTCGGCTTTGCAGTGTCTAACCTGGACACATAAGCAGGTTAACACACACTGAGTCTGGTCCTAATTTAAAAAAGCCTGAAACATAAGATCCAGTCCCTAAAAGTGGTCCTCAATAGTGTGGGGGCATTTATCACTAGATGACTCAGAGCTAACTTTGTCACACTTTCACACACGTGCTCTGGAATTAACAGTTTGCCCATTTATATGCTGTCACCAGGAAGCAATTTTTTCCAGGTGTTTGACTCATTCTTTGTCTCTTCATTCAAAGCTCCCCTGTTTCTTAGTATACCACCCACATTGATATCAATCCAGGCCAAAATGGAGTTGTGTGGCAGGCTTTCTTATTTCAAGATGTTCCTCATATCCCTTAGACAGAACTACTACAAGATAAGGCACTTGGTGTTGCCAGCCTAACGCTCAAAAAAGGCCTGATGTTTCATAAAGACTGTGCCCACTGCTTCTAATAAGAGTAGCAGTTGATGTGTAGCCCACTGAATATCCTCACATACATACAGTTACCTATTCTCCAGGGTTTTTTGGACTAGTGGTGGCTGTAGCACTCCTAGGTCATGGAGTTTCTCTACTGCCAACTGCCTTCAATGTTTCTCTCTGTCATACTCCACAAAAAAATAATTCAAAAATTATGACAGTGTCATCCTATTCCCAGCCCTATCTCACTCCACAATACAGCTTGTCCCTCCATGCTCTGAAAACATCATTAATTCATGCACCTCTGGGAACTCATGAAACCTGCTACAGTTATTTCAAGCATAATAACATGTACAGAGATACTAAAATATTCATATCCAAACCCCAAAAAGTACTAAAAGCAATTTACAAATCTAACCTGAATGTCTGATTAGTATGACCACATTGCCCAATATTTATTTATATTTTCCAGATCAATGTATGAATGTCTAAGAGGGTTCCAGTTTTACACTTACCGTTCTCTTTTCGTAACCTTGATATGAACTTCTTTGGTGGAATAACTCCCACTTTTTTCTTCTGAGTAGCAATACTGTGGAAAAGATCTGCCAGGCAAGTCAAGAGATTTTCCTTCTTTTTCTGTTGGGCCTTGTATGATAATACATTTTCCCGAAACGGCCGGCAAAAATACAATGCCTGCAGCACGGAGTTACAGTAGCAGGTGTTCCCAAACTGCCATGTAAAATTAAAAACAATCTTAATCCTGGAGCATCACAATAAAACTCGTTGCTTCATTCAACTTCTGGCTTCTGTGTCCCTGTCACATACCAGCCATTTTGTCACACAGCTGCTGTAGGAATATATTTCCACGCCTACCTCTGACAGTTCATGGAAAAAAAAAGGTGTTCTAAATTAAGTAGAATAGGAAGTAAAAGCTTCCACTTGCAAGAGTTATTTATTGTAGTGGATCTTGTTAAACTTGCTTCTGTATATATACTCTTGCTGGGCTCTATCTTACTGCTCACTAGCAGAATGAATAATGTTTTCAATGGAAAGTATTACTTTATCTGTTTTATTTATATAGGAATTAACAAGTTATTAAATACCCCTCTCACTCATTCTCTCCTTAGATAAAAAAGCTCATCCTTAGAGAGTCTCCAGTGCAGACTGCTGTACCTAAGCTTGTATATACTTCCATCGCTTCCTTCCTCACATTTCATAGCTAAAATAGACTTTTAACTTTATTGAACTGCAAGTCCTAATCCCTGGAAACATTCAAATAACAGTAAGCTGTTTTCTCTGGGGGCATATCTTCAAACATCTGATACAGTTTTGCAATCCACTTTGCCTAAAATTAGAATGTGAGCAGCAATTTTTCAAAAAAAGAGGAAAACCCTACTTTAGAACAGGATCCGGGGAGGCAAAAAAAAAACAAGCCCAAAAAACAAAACAACCAACAAAGTTCAAGTAACATCAAATCCATAGTTCTGTATATATTTTGCCTACTGAAAATAGTACTCACATTGACCAAGCCGAAGTAGTGTTCATTGATTGGAAACTGCTCTGGGCCAATGTCTTTTTCCAGAGCAGAGGCATTGGTGCCCTATAAAAAAAAGAAGGAAGAAATTATTTAGAATATTAAGATTCCAAAATAAAGTTATGGCCAGCATCAAGACAGAAACTCATTTTTTCCTTTTAGCTACAATCGGCCAAGCTAACTCTGTCTTACTAATGGGCAAGTATGACACACACATGAGCCAATAAAAATATTTGCAGTTCTAGTAGTGGAGCTGGCCTGACCTGCACACTCCAGTAATGGTGGATTAGGAATGAACAGGTCACAACAACAGTGGTTCTCCCCACACCCACCTCCCCCTTATTTTTACTGTGTACATGAACAGCTGGATTTCATTACCCTCTTGCCTCATAAAGATACTTGTTGATCTTAAGCAAAACCCTTAAAGTTATCTCAGATTAAATATAAGGCGGGTTTTCTAAGCATTACTGAAACTCCTCTGAATCCCTTCTAATTCATCAGCAACCTTTCGTGATACTTGAGCTCCAAACTGGCACCCAGTTCTAGTAACAACATCACAGACCTTAAAAGCAAGTGTAATATATCTGAGTGCATAATCCCAAGCACTGTTACATCTCTTGATCACTGACTAGTGTGGCAAGTTACGGTCAGCTGTATCTTCACTCCAACGGCAAAGCTGCTTTCACAGCTACTGGTCTGTGACATACAACCACTAATTTTGTATGTTACCTGTAGTTTTGCTATATTTAAATGCCTATTTTTAAACAAGCTCAGATTACCAAGCGAACTACTGCTAGATTGCTGCCAAAGCGACTATCATCACTCCTATCCACTCTGTAAGCATACAGATCCCTGTAGGACCTCACAAAAAGTATCCCTGTCCTTGTGCTTGGACAAGTATTCCCTAAATACATTTATTCAAGACCTATCAGTTACCCAAATTTTAATCTGTATGATAACTGCTTTACCATCATCATACATTTGTCTCCTTACTGAGCAAGCTCTGCAGTGTGAAACACTGATATATTACACCTTCAAATTTCCATCACACAAGAACAGCACAGTTGGTTGACTTCTAGAAAATGATGTAAAATGCCCCTGTAAACATACCAACATGTAAAACATTTGAAATTTCCTGTGTTCCTCAGGTTTGTTTACTATATCATTTGTTCAGAGACTTTCATCTGTTAAAATTTTCAAAGTTACTAGTAATCAAATTCAGTAATTCTAGTGTCCCTTCCCCACCGTCTCCCTAAAATCTGGCCTATGCTTCCTTACTGTACTGCCATCACCACTGCTTGCTATATTAGATTATTATTTCACATCAATTCATCTAAAGATTATTTCAGTCAACATAATCAGTGGTGTGAAACTCAGCACAGATGCTCTTTGAGAATTTGCAAGTCCTGAAAGTAAAACAGCTCCATCAACTTGGCAGCTTCCAGAAAAACTCCAAAGACTTTGTATTTCACATCACTTTATCAGGTCTCTTTTCAGTCTCTCCCTTTCTCTCACATATACATAGCTCATTGCTCAGACTAAGCGTATGTGATTTCCCAGGTGTTCCTACTCCCCGGACTGAAATACTTTACCTGTACAAGGCTCCATGCAAATCTTAAGGGATACGTTATTCATCCCCACTGGGCTCTGCTAAGCCTCAGTGAGAAACTTGGAAAAAGGAATTCTCTATACAGAGCAATTATTGGCTACCTTTCAATGGAGACGACACTGTGACAATTATGTAAGCCCCATATGAAGATGAGTTTCTTTTCTTGGAAAGTCTGCCTTGTCAAAGATGCACAGATTCAGCAAAGCATTTGACTTCCAGAGAGGGAGGAGACTGATGGACATTTGTCTATGTGATATTAACAGTGAAGCAAACAGTCACTCTTACCCTCAAAACCTTTGTTTGATAAAAGAAAACTATGACTACAGAAGACTAATGCAGCTTCTGAAGAAAACCATCTTCTTATTAATACTCATTTTACAGTACTCAGATCAAAGCAAAGGTTTTCTTCCATTACACTTTTAGTGTTCAAATCGAGTTCCCTAACATCAGAATGAAAAGGGTGTTTCTACAGTTTTGCAGGATGTATTTTCTGAAATACTGAAAAAAAACCTGATAAATTGAAAATAGTTCTCCCTCTGGAATTCATGGAAAATAATATCTGTAAAAAGTAACCTCCTACTCTTTCATAAACTACAGGTTAGTGTAAGCTGTTAGACAAGTAGAATGCAAGTGCTTGGCTAACTACTTGCTCGTACATTACTCATTTGCCTTTCCTCCAGGGCCAGGGTTTCTTATTTCAGAGGATGTCAGATGGTTTGACAAATCCTTTCTAGCATTTAAATTGTCTTGTAAATATTGTGAGAAAGAGCAAGAATCAGGATTTATCAAACAAAATTATCACTGAAAACCAAACAAATCCATGATGTGCATTAACAGATCTCTGAATAAAAACTATACATTGCATGGAAATTTCCAAAGTACAT